AAAAATACAGTAAAAACTGTGAACAATGCACTGCCCTGGGGGCGGGGGGGGGGGGAAGGGTCTGTTATCGCTGGCCCCAGGACAGATCATCGGATATGGCCTGGGGACCCCCAACACCTGGGAGCCTTCCTGTAAGCCCGTGAAAGGGGGCAGAACCATATCTGCAAGACAAAGACCCCAGAAGATTATAAAAAGTGAAGTCCTCTGCCTGTTTCTTCACTCTGATTTGGAAATTATTCCCGGAGTCCGCTAGTGTTAATAAACAGGGTCCCTCCCTTTCTCTAGGAAGCATGCTTAGTATTTCTTTGGTCTTCTGCCACACCCAGGGATGGAATACACCAAGTGCAAGATCTTGGATATGTAGAAAACATCCTGCATCCTTTTCCCAAACAGTGGGTCCCAACATATAACCCTAATGTGACTTTCTCCCCAAAATGAATGGAATAATTCTACATATTAGCAATAGATGTCTCAACTCCTACTAGGCAAAATGTAAAGGTCCGCTCTACATAGTTTCCTCCATTTCCAGCTTCAGAGCAGATGGAGTGATGAGAGCATGTCTCAGGGTCCTGTACATTTCTCCTCCAGTTGGTCCATGGTCCTTGCTCTGTTCATGTCAGTCTAACTGCCTAGTACATTCGCCCTCAAGAATCTTGGCTCTGAATTCTTTCAGAGAAAGGGAGTGCAGAGTCTCTTTTATAACTGCTTCATGCTGAGGAGGTGTAACCAGACAATCAGTGGGTCCGTGCTCCCTGACACCACTAGAGCCAATTAAGCAGAGACAGGGTTGAATCATATATGAGCGTTTATTCCAGTACTGCTAGCAGTATGGAAAAGTAGCAGGTCATCCACAAAAATATGCTCTGCACCCCATCATAAGCCAGCTGCTTATATTGGGTAGGACAAAGATTACATGGGGAAGTAGACAAAAGAGTATGCCAAATGGGCAATTTACTGGTAATGCGGGCTGGAGATTTGCAAAAGCCTATGGGTATGCAAAGGCTAAGGGGTCTTCAAAGGGCTGGTGGCTCTAGTTTTAGCAACAAGGTTGTTAATCTTTCCATAATAGGCAGCTCCCGATAAGGACGATGGGACATATTTCCAAGTGAGCTCCCAGGTCCCACATGCAACTCCCAGCCAGGTTAGAATGTGCTCTCTTTATTATTTATTTATTTATTTATTTATGTATTTATGTATATATGTATGTATTTATGTATTTATTTATTTATTGGTGCAGTAGAGGTCAAAACTATTGCAATGGGGGAAAGAGTTTGTATTCAATACCAGATATGAGAGGGACCCATGCAGATTTATAGCCAGGGGCGAGGGTGTTAGATAGAATAGAAAATTACTAAGAGGAACTTGGTTAGATATCAAGGGTCAATGGAAGAGGAGCTTGATTAAAAATCAGGGATGGGGAGAAACCAAGATGGCGGCATAGGTAAACACCGGAAATTGCTGCCTTGCACAACCACTTCAAAAATACAACTGAAAGACAAAACAGACATCATCCAGAACCACAGGAAGGCTGGCTGAGTGGAAATTCTACAACTAGAAGGAAAGAGAAAAGCACACTAAGACTCAGAGGAGGTGTGGAAGTAAAGTGCAGAGGTACAGAGGCGCATGTGGAAAGGGCTGGAAACTGAGGACACGGTTGTCTTTTTCAATCGGGAGGGAGTCTCAAGCTCCCGACTACTCTGAACTCCAGTTCCAGGTGAGACTCTGGGGACCCAGACTCATACGGGGAGAAACTGGACTGTCTGGCAGCAGGCAGAACTTGAGGGCAGCTTTCTCTCAGAGGTACTTGCAGCGATTACCGGGACACTGAAACCTGGGGCCTCTTAGGGTAGGACTGAGGAGCAGCCATAGCTGCTTGCTCCACCCTGTTGATCCCCTGAGACCCCGCCCCACCCAAGCTGTGCACAGAGGCTTTTGCATATGAAAGACCTGGTCCTTTGCAATCTGAAAATTACCTAACAAACTGCAGCTGGGTCAGAGAGATCCAGAATTTCCAAAAGAAGGCCCAAGGCTCCACAGCAGCTTGCATTGCTTCACAGCTGGGCCTCATCTGGGCACCTCCAAACCCCAAACAAAGAAGAGGAATCTGCAGATCTCTCCATAGCTCCTGCTGGGTAGCCTCAGGCAGAGGCTAAATTAGCACCTCCTTAGAGATCCAAGAGCCAGTATACCCAGTGGTCAGAGTAGGACCATCCAGATTACAACTCCTCAGATCCATAAGGAACACACTCAGGGGAAGACTCAGTGAGCACCAAAGCCCCACTGAAGCAAGTCTTGCCCCAGAAGGGTGTCTCCAGCACAGAAGTTCTCCCACTGTAGACACAGCTGATTCTCACAGCCAATTGACCTGGAGGTCAATTCCTCCCAGTGATACCTACAACAATCAAGGCTTAACTACAACAAGACTGTGCATAAAGTCCACAAAGGGGTGCACCAAGAGTAATTGGGGAGGCTGACCCACTGGGCCCTATAGGACACCTAGCACACAAAGCCACTCTATCAACACAGGGAAGCATAAAAAATACGGAGAGCCCTAACCGGTTTGGCTCAGTGGATAGAGTGTCGGCCTGCAGACTGAAGGGTCCCAGGTTCGATTCCAGTCAAGGGCATGTACCTTGGTTGCAGGCACATTGCCAGTTGGGGGTGTTCAGGAGGCGGCCGATTGATGTTTCTCTCTCATCAATGTTTCTAACTTTCTATCCCTCTCTCTTCCTCTCTGTGAAAATATATATATATATAAATGTGGAGACAAAGAAACAGGTCACAAATGACAGAAATGGAGGAAAGCAAACTACAGGATATAGAGTTCAAAACCACACTTATAAGGTTTTTCAAGAATTTTCTAGAAACCGCCGATAATTTAGTGAGACCCTCAATAAATCTAGTGAGACCCTCGAGGTTATGAAAAAGGACCAACTAGAAATTAAGCATACACTGGCTGAAATAAAGAATAACATACAGAGATCCAACAGCAGACTAGAGGATCACAAGAATCAAGTCAAAGATTTGAAATACGAAGAAGCAAAAAACACCCAACCGGAAAAACAAAAAGAAAAAAGACTCCAAAAATATGAAGATAGTGTAAGGAGCCTCTGGGACAACTTCAAGCATACCAACATCCGAATTATGGGTGTGCCAGAAGAAGAGAGAGAGCAAGATATTGAAAACCTATTTGAAGAAATAATGACAGAAAGCTTCCCCTACCTGGTGAAAGAAATAGACTTAGAAGTCCAGGAAGTGCAGAGAACCCCAAACAAAAGGAATCCAAAGAGGACCATGTGCTAGGGGCAGGGGCCTGGCAGAGAAGAATTACTGAGTGGGCTGAGGGGCAGGGACCATGGGAGAGAAAAATTGCTAATTATCCGGATAGAAAAGCAATGTGTTATGATTAAACTCAGCCAGGTGTGACCTTGCTTTCCTCCCATTTGTACTTGTAAACTTTATGTGAACTTTTACCCTGCCAGTATCAGAAACGGCTAATAAACCGCTTTGCAGTTTGTTTTTTCTTTTTTTGGAAATACTTTGTAGTATTGCAGATGAAAGGCTTTGCTGTACTCTCGGTCAGCACTGCAAGCTGTGATGCTCCTACGGGAGGGACGCCGCTGTAGTCAGCTGGCCAGCTTAATAAAGGCTCTTAAAATTTAAATTTTGAGTCGGTGGTCTATCTCGCTGATTGAACCCATAAAAGACCACACCAAGACTCATCATAATTAAAATGCCAAGGGCTAAAGACAAAGAGAGACTCTTAAAAGCAGCAAGAGAAAAAAAGTCAGTTACCTACAAGGGAGTACCCATATGACTGTCAGCTGATTTCTCTACAGAAACTTTGCAGGCCAGAAGGGAGTGGCAAGAAATATTCAAAGTGATGAATGCCAAGAACCTACAACCAAGATTACTTTATCCAGCAAAGCTATCATTCAGAATTGAAGGTCAGATAAAGAGCTTCACAGATAAGAAAAAGCTAAAGGAGTTCATCACCACCAAACCAGTATTATATGAAATGCTGAAAGGTATCCTTTAAGAAGAGGAAGAAGAAGAAAAAGGTAAAGATACAAATTTTGAACAACAAATACACATCTATCAACAAGTGAATCTAAAAATCAAGTGAATAAACAATCTGATGAATAGAATAAACTGGTGAATATAATAGAATTAGAGGCATAGAAAGGGAGTAGACTGACTATTGGGGGGGGAGAGGTGTTGGGGGGTGAGGGAAGAGACTGGACAAAAATCATACACCTATGGATGAGGACAGTGGGGGGGGGGGTGGGAACCAGGTGGAGGGGAGCTATGGGGGGAAAAGAGGAACAACTGTAATAATCTGAACAATAAAGATTTAATTTAAAAACATACCTCTTAAAAAAAAAACCTAAAAAAAAAAAATCAAGGATAAGAAGAGGAGCGTGATTAGATACCAAGGATAAGGGGATTCTCGATAAGCTGGCTTTACAGGATTCTTTGGGAAAACTGGGCGTAGCAGGCCCAGGATAAGGCCTAGTCTAGATGAGGGCTCAAAAGGGTCGGACTGAAGTTTGCTCCAGGAACATGCCTGCCAAAGGGGGAGTGAGGGTCTGAACGTGGTGGTGTAAGTCCACGGACCTTGCTGACCCTACATCTCCTGTGTGAGCGGTGGACAGCTACACCTCCTATGACCCAATCTGTCGGGAACTGTACAACCACGAAGCAAGACTATGGCTGCATTCCAGCCTCAAATCAGACTGCCCCCAAATCCGAGCGTGCATTCCCTTATCTGCTACCCTGCGGCTCCAAGATACCAGCTTGCCTGGGGCTGCAGGGCGGGCCCGGCGTGCACCTCCTGCGCGCCAATCACAGGCCGGCGCGCAGGGGCGCAAGCGCCAAGGCCCTGGGCGGGGCCTCAGCTCTCACCAGTCTCCGCCGACTGGCGGGCCTCCCACCGCCCTGATTGGCCTTCCGGAGATGACGTAGGCGCCCGCCTCGGCCAGTAGGAGCGGAGCCGGCGGGCCGGCGGGGTTTGGCGGAAGTGGTGCGGGAGCGGCGAGCCGGCAGCGCAGAGAAGCGGCGCAGCGTGGAGGACGGGACGCCAGCGATGACGCGCTTCGCCCTGACTGTGGTCCGGCAGTGAGTATTGCCCTCGCAGGGAGCCTGTCCCCGCTGGTCACTGTGGGTTGTGGAGTGGGTGAGGGGACCACTGGTCTGTCATCCTGTTTCTTCCTGCTTGCTCACCCCTGGCGGAGTTAGCTTGGACGGGCGATTTTCCAGGTGTTTTCGTACGTGCTGTTTCCTATGACCCTTCCTCCCCCCAGCAGCGCTGAGCCGGGGAGGCAGATGTTAATATCATCAGCCCCGTGGTGCAGAGGAGGTGAGGTCCGGACCAGTAAATGGTCGGGGTCCCCAGCAGTTGGTGACAGAGCTAAAGCTGAAGAAAGACAACCTTGTCTTCAGGCTTGTCTGTGCACCGTTTTGCTCCCCAGCAGATTGCGAAGACTGCAGGCAGAATAGCTCGAGGGAGGCTATTTTTGATGCCGGCTACCTTCCGCCGTCCCGTCTCTCCGTCCCTGCTGTTCCTCCTCGTTTCCTGCTCGTTTGCCTGGGCAGTCAGCCCCACGGACATGTATCTGAGATGTATCTCTCCCCTCCAGAGGTTGCTTTACTGGAAGAGAAAAAGGGGCCCTGCCCTGGGCTCAGCCGGCCGCATCACCCCGAACAGATATTTTTGTCCTAACATCACACGGAGCCAATTGCTGATATGTCTTTGTGTCTCTCATCTTTTCCCCTCTTTTCACTTATTTACCGACTGTTAGTGGGAAGTGAAATTCAGGGTGGTTAAGAGCACAGATTTTTCAAGCAAGATAGACCGAGGTGAGAATCGTGGCTCCGCCTAGAAGCCTCGTAACCTGGCCTTCCCTAAACTGACTTCATATTTCCGACCTCCGTTTCCTGATATATAAAACCTACCTCACTGGGTTAATGTGAGAATTAAGTGGGAGAAAAATAGAGTGTATAGCACAATGGAGGATAAGAAATATATCTGAGAATTAAATAACTTACCTTTTTATAAGGACAGCTCTAATAAGAATTGTTAATCCTCAAATATATATATATAGTTTATCGGACAACATTTAGAGTAGGCACTATGTGCCAATGGACTGGGTTACATACATAAATAAGATGCCATTTTTAACTTCATGGAGCTCACAAGGAACAATAATGTGATTTAATCTTGTCAAATGACTTTAACTGCTATCTCTTCTGTCCTTTTTTTAAAAAATATATTTTAATTGATTTCAGAGGAAGGGAGAGGGAGAGAGAGATAGAAACATCAATGATGAGAGAGAACCATTGATCGGCTGCCTCCTGCACGCCCCACACTGGGGATCAAACCCGGGACCCTTCAGTCCACAGGCCAACCCTCTATCCACTGAACTAAACCGGCCAGGGCTGTCCTGTTCTTTTACAAGAAGATAACCTTGGGAATCACCTCAAATTGTCCCTTTGGGATTCACAGGATTTTAATTTTTAAAAAAATATATCTTTTTATTGATTTCAGAGAGGAAGGAAGAGGGAGAGAGAGAGAAACATCAATGGTGAGAGAGAATCATTGACTGGCTGCACCCTGCACACACACTCCCCTCCCCTCATCACACGCTCACACATATTGGGAATTGAGCAGGAAATCCTGGCATGTACCCTGACTGGGACTCAAACCGTGACCCTCCTGGTTTATAGGCTGATGCTCAATCACTGAGCAACACCGACCCGGCTAGGATTCACAGCATCTTAATGACTAAACTAGGAATCGAATTCCTCCCTATCTCTTCTCTACCCTCTTCATTTATAGAATGTCTTATGACCATTGTATGACCTACTTAAGCTCATAAGCTGATCAGTAGCAGAACGGGAACTAGAGACCTGATTGCCCTTTCTGCTGGTGTTAGAGCACTTTCTGGCTCCCTGACCCAGCCAGCAGTCTGGCACATAATTGAAGCTCAGGATTTGTGGGAAATTGGGTTAAAACACCTCTTGAAAAATCAAGTGATCCCTATTCAGATTCTTAATAAACAATAGTTATATGAAGGTGGATTTTTATCCCCTTCCTGATTCTTAAAAAAGGCTTGATTTTTTAAAATTGACTGCTCACAGGACTCTATAGAAAACAAGTAAAAAATACCTTAAGAAATTGTGTGTCAGGCACTGTTGTAATTCTGACAACAATCCAATGAAGTAAAGATTGTTCCTCAGTTTGCAGATAAGGAACTGATACAAAGAGGGTATGTAACTTTAAAAAATATATATTTTTATTAATTTCAGAGAGAGAGAGGGAGAGATGATAGAGAATCATTGATCGGCTGCCTCCTGCATGCCCCCTACTGGGGGTTGAGCCCACATGCCCGGGCATGTAACCTTGACTGCCAAACCAGTTAGGACGAGGGCATATAACTTGGTTAAAGTCATATGTCGGGTTGAGGAGGCTGAATTTGAACCAAAGCAACATGACCCTACAGCCCAACCAACCTTCTTAACCACTGTACTCTTCTGCATCCTATTTTATTGAATTAAAGACTAGTATTTGTAGGGTGCTTGAATACCACCAGCCATTTTAGAGGCTTTTTATTTTTCTTCATATAATTGTGAATAGTGATAAGAATAGTTTGCTTTGTTCTGTTATATTTGTGGGCAAGTGGAATGAAAGTGTTGAAACAATCTATAGGATTAGGGTAAGCTGCTCCCCTATCTGGACCATCTCTCTTTTCTCCTTTAGAATTCTCAAAGCTAAAAATTGATGATTCTTTCAGGAAAAGAAATGATTTCAAACTTGATTGATAATTACCATACTTAAATATAATGACTCTTTTTAAAAAAATATATATTTTATTGATTTTTTACAGAGAGGAAGGGAGAAGGATAGAGAGTTAGAAACATCGATGAGAGAGAAACATTGCTCAGCTGCCTCCTGCACACCTCCTACTGGGGATGTGCCCACAACCAAGGTACATGCCCTTGACCGGAATTGAACCTGGGACCTTTCAGTCCGCAGGCCGACGCTCTATCCCTGAGCCAAACTGGTTAGGGCAAATATGACTCTTATGGGAGTCAGCAAGATTGGATCATTTAGCATAGTATTGGGATTAGGCACTTGAGGTTCTATTACCTGATTCTGTATAACTCTATAAGATAAACACCTTGAAACTGATGGCATGATCAATATTTTTTTTGAGTTGGATTATTTTATTGAACAGTGCCTCTTCAGGTAATGCAAGAAAACTTTAAGAAAGCAATTTAAGTTCAACCAAATCCCTTATGAATCTTGTGCTGTTTCTGTATATGTGTGTTTACCGTTCTTCATCATACTTGGAAGTGAAAGTACCTTGTGTATCATTTTTGGAATAGAATGCCCAAGATTTCAAACTTCAAGTCTACTGATATTATTAAACTGTAACTTCTCATTATCTTATAGCAAAGCATTGCTGAAAACTCCAGTGTGTGTTGGCATTTCCATCACCTACACTATATATTGAAGCCCCCAGTTCCCTTGACATGTTATTTGTAGGTGTTTGCAACCATTTGCCTGCAGACCATCCATTTCACTTCCAGTTTTAACTGGCTCTTAAAATTTAAATTTTTTTTACAAACTAAATTTAATTTACTTGAATGACTTAAAGGTAATGGATTACTAAAGTTATTGATAGCAAAACTGATGTTTTTCTTACTCTACCTCTAGCATCAGTTAGCTTGCTTTTTGTTGATGTTGATCTAAAACAGCGGTTCTCAACCTGTGGGTCACAACCATCGGAAAACACATATAGCATATCAGATATTTACATTACGATTCATAGCAGTAGCAAATTTACAGTTATGAAGTAGCAACGAAAATAATTTTATGGTTGGGGGTCACCACAACATGAGGAACTGTATTAAAGGGTCACAGCATTAGGAAGGTTGAGAACCACGGGTAAAAAAAACCAAGCAAAAATAAATATGAAATCACCTGTAAACTTTTATAAAGATAACATATAATTGTTATGTTATTGTGATATTTGTTTTCTGGGGATTGATCATAGCCTTTGCACCCAGGATTAATTCTGTATATAAACAAATATATCATGAATTGAGATATTAGGTTCTTTTTCCCCTCAAATACCCAGGGAATATCTCCATGTTACTAGCCCTTGGAATCTTTTATATTTTCACTTGACTTAATTGTGGAGAGGAATTAGAATAAAACTGTACTCATGATTAAATATCAGGTGAGGCTTTACATATCCATGTATGCTAAAGCATATCTATTTTGAAAACTTGCCCCAAATGTATACTAATTTCCCACTATTTGTCTCTCGTGTCTGTTGAATTTGAATTCTTTAAAGGGATATGCTTAGGAAATTAAGCTTTCTATGTGATTTCTGGAGAAATGCCAACGAATATAAGCCCGAACTAATAAAGTCAAATACCTGTTTAAGTGAACAGTGTGATAATCTATGAAATGAATGATGCCTATTTGTAGGGCCTATAAATGGCTGGTCATAAGACTTCACCTCTTGGCAGAAGCATTAGAATTCTTGCAGAGTCGGGTGTTGCGTTTTGGAAATGGATCACACTGCAGATTTTGAAAATGAGTGGTGTTAGTCCTGACTCCTTCAAAATATATTCCTCTGACCTTTCAGCTCCCTTCATCTTCTCTGTGCTGTCACAGCCAAACTTGGTTAAGTGAAGTTTAATAGTAAAACTATTTTAGTCACCTACTTTTCTTTTCCACTCCCCAAGCAAACTAATGTTAAATACTTGCTTCAAGGATTTATACAGACCTCTTGATAAAGCTGATAAAAGCTGTAAAACTAAATATTTATGAACGTTTTTAGAAAAAAAATTCTATTTCTAGATTCCTACTCTATAGTGTTTATAAAATGATTCGATGGCAGAAGTGACCAACAGAATGCCAATGATTGTTAATAAAGCAGCAATGTCTGCAGCAGTTTCTGCCCTTCATTATATTAGAGCTATTTTTTCTCCTTTCACTAAAAATGGCTAGATGGAGGGGCAGTGTCATTACAAAATTATCACAATACTTGGGATTCCATTTTTTACAGGGTGACTTCTTTTTTTTGCACTTGAGGAAAAAGATGGATTTAAAACTCTGCACCTTGCTTTTTCTACTTAATAATATAATATATATTGGTGATTTTTCTATATCTTCACGTACAATCTCTCTCTTTTTAGGGGACATAGTATTCCATTATGTAGGTATACCACTGTTTGTTAAGGCAACCGGAACTTTGTTCATGGACATGTAGGTTATTCACCATCTTTTGCTATTAGAAGTCTATAATAATAAAATGTAATATGCAAATCAACCAAATGGCTGAACAGTGGAATGAAAAAGCAACATGCAGAAGACTACATATTGTAAGAGGCAATCTAATCTAATAAGAGAAACATGCAAATTGACCGTACCCTCGCTATGCCCAAGCCACGCCCACCAGCCAATCAGAGTGGCTATATGCAAATTAACCCAACCAAGATGGCGGCTGGCAGCCATGGAGCTGGAGCAAGCAGGAGGCTTGGTTGCCCCAGTGATGGAGGAAGCCAAGCTTCCCGCCTGTCCTGGCCGGCTGTGGCCTCTGCTAAAGGCAACAAAGTTTCAATTATAGAAGATAAATAAATCCCAGATACCTGCTTCCAGACAGCCTCCACTGGGAGCTTGGGTGGCTGGGGGCTGTGGCCAGCCTGCAAACAGCCATCAGCCCCTCACCCAGGCTGGCCACACCCTCATGGGGTAAGGGTCCCTGCTGGGGGGCTTGGCAGCCTGCAAACAGCCATCAGCCCCTCACCCAGACTGGCCAGGCACCCCAGCAGGACCCCCCCACCCTGAGGGGGGTGTGGCCAGCCTGAAAACGGCCCTCAGCCCCTCACCCAGGCTGGCCAGGCACCCCAGTGGGGACCCCCACCCTGAAGGGGCTGTGGCCAGCCTGCAAACAGCCATCAACCCCTCACCCAGGCTAGCCACACCCTCATGGGGTGAGGGTCCCTGCTGGGGGGCTTGACCAGCTGCAAACAGCCCTCAGCCCCTCACCCAGTCTGACCAGGCATCCCAGCAAGGACCCTCACCCTGAAGGGGCTGTGGCAAGCCTGCAAACAGCCATCAGCCACTCACCCAGGCTGGCCAGTCACGCCAGCAGGACCCCTCTTCCTGATGGGGGTGTGGCCAACCTGAAAACGGCCCTCAGCCCCTCACCCAAGCTGGCCAGGCACTCCAGCAGAAATCCCACCCTGAAAGGGTGTGGCCAGTCTGTAAACGGCCCTCAGCCCCTCACCCAGGCTGGCCAGGCACCCCTGTGGAACCCCCACCCTGATCTGGGACACCCTTCAGGGCAAACTAGCCAGCCCCCACCCATGCACCAGGCATATAATAAAAGGGTAATATGCAAATTGACCCTAACAGCAGAACGACTGGGAATGACTGGTCACTATGACACACACTGACCACCAGGGGGGCAGATGCTCAATGCAGGAGCTGCCCCCTGGTGGTCAGTGCACTCCCACTGGGGAGCTCTGCTCAGCCACAAGCCAGGCTGATGGCTGCCAGCACAGCAGTGATGGCGGGAGCCTCTCCCGCCTCCTCAGCAGCGCTAAGGTTGTCCGATTGCAGCTTAGGCCTGCTCACCACTGGCAAGTGGACATCCCCTGAGGGCTCCTGGGCTGCCAGAGGGATGTCTTACTGCCAGCTTAGGCCTGTTCCCCTGGGCAGCGGGTCTAAGCCAGCAGGTGGACATCCCCCAAGGGTCCCAGACTGCGAGAGGGCACAGGCCGGGCTGAGGGACCCCCCCCCCCGAGTGCACAAATTTTTGTGCACCGGGCCTCTAGTTAATTATAAAGTTCAACAATAGCTAAAGTAACCTATGCTCTACACCGGTGGGAAAGCTATAAAGAAAGGCAAGTGAAGGAGCATCTAGATGTCTACATAATGGATCCTCTGTGGGTGGAGGACATTGTGATGGAAAAGGGTCTAGGAGGCTGGCAGTGATCTGTTTTGGGTAATATTATATGAGTGTTGGTTTTATTTGTTTATATTATTCCACAGTTTTCAAAAGATTAGAGAAATACATTAAGTTACATTTTTTATTTTTATAAACCTCTGTCCAAGCCTCTATAAAGCTCTTATAATTATTGAGTGCTTATTAAAAGCTAAGCAGTATTCTAAACACTTTAACTGTATTCACTCAGTTATCACAAGAGTCATGTGAGATAGAGGCTGTTGCTATCAAGGATTTATACAGACAGCCTCCACTGGGAGCTTGGGTGGCTGGGGGCTGTGGCCAGCCTGCAAACAGCCATCAGCCCCTCACCCAGGCTGGCCACACCCTCATGGTGTGGCCAGAGGACGAACTGAAACACTTGACCCAAACCCAGCTCCTAGAGCCCAAGCAGTTTTGTTCCTGTGCCTGATTTATGGCGATGAAGTTTACTTCAAAGATTTCCACTTCTCATTGACATGGAAGGATATAAATAGGGGGCTGTAGACATTTGGTTCCAAATGAGAAATCATTTGCTCTGAAGAAACATTTTTACTGTTTTTACCTCCTATTCCCAATTCTATGTCCAGAGTCCACACAGAACAAGGGCAGACCCTGAGCATCTGTGTCTCCAGTGCTGTGCACTGTTCGCATGTAGAAAGAGCCCAAGGAAGCTTCGGCTGAATTCTCCTGACAGCTTTTTGTGTATTTGATGGTGGCTTTAACTGTAGTTCTGTCCTATCACTCAGTCTTGTCCATGTAACCCCGCCTTCTTCCCAATTGACTGTTATTTTGTGACAAAGTTTCCAGTCCTTTCACCCTACTCTTGCTTCAAAATTGTTGTGTGTCTTTTTTTCTCATTCTTAAACATGTATTACCCAAACCCCAGTTCTTCAGTGTGGTCTGCAGACAGTTGTCAGCACTACAGAGTGGAACATCTTGAGAAAACCTAGGTTCTAGGAGAAGGCAGGGGTCTGAAGATTTGTACGTTTTTTCCCCCACTCTATTCTCAGTTCTGGACTTGCTCATCCTGTTCAGCAGTGGACAGACTGACCTTCATATTTGAGTTCTGCCTGGGAAAATTGTTTTGGTCAACATACTTCTTTTAACAAGAATATTTAACAAGAGTAATATATACACATACATTTTTAACAGAATTTCCTACCTGCAATTCACTTAAGATTGATTCGTGATCTATACATTTTAATTTGGGCAGTGTGAAATTCTTAGCTTATCAATTAAATACATTAAATGATTGCAAATATTCATTTAGAATAAATTTTACAGATTAGATTATGAAGTATGTTACAAGGTTCATGTGCTATCTTTGTGAATAGCATTACCTTTGCTGTTTTTTTTCTCATCTTAAAAATAACCTAATTTATTAATAAAGGTGTTTTTTTTTTCCCCCACCCTCCTCTCTACTTTAGTGGACAAACAAGATTAAACAAGGAGAAAGTAATTCAAGGTTGGTATATTATTATTTTTGCTTTCTTCTTTAGTGTTAATGTGATATGGGAGTTAGTCGGGTCTGGCGGGGCAGGGTGGATGGGCTCAGCCCTGTGTTATGAGCTGGGATTACAGAATTAAAGCATTATAGCCACAGAAATATGATCAGAGCAGATGGTAACCAAGGACTCGTAAGTGAGCTGTATGTAAAGAGTGGTATTCCACGTTGTTTGTGGGTAGCTTCAAGTGGCCCAGGCAGCTGATAAAACCGTCTTAAAATATAACTGCCCGGATTTAAGATGATTTTATATTTGGAGACAAAGTTTACTGGCTGGTGCTAGTGGTGTTTTTCTGCTAAGATTTCAATTTTCGTAGTAACAAAGAGGATTAAAAAAGAACTTTCTCACATCGGGTGGTTACTTTATTCTGAACAGATTGTCCCTCCCTTCTTGTAATTTAGACTCAGATCTTTTAATCTCCCTAATGATCTGACTAGTCTGGCTTTTAAAGAATATTTTGGTGGACGTTCAGCCAGATTATAAAAGCATTTTGTTTAATTTTTTTGGTTAGGGACATCTGGGGTTGGCAGAAACTGATTTTCATACCCAGTGTGCTTGACTCCCTCTACTGGGTACTAATCTGATAGTTAAATGAACCTTTGTTTTCCAATGACTTGTGTCCACACCAGGTTATTCTTCGGACTCATGTCCCTGACTACCTTGTCCTTCATTCCATTTCACATTGACAATGGAACATGAATAAAAGCTTTCATGTTCACACTTGTTTTGTAAGGCTTCTTTTGTGTGTTTTGTTATTTTTCCTAATTTGGTAAGTTAGATGCTTAGTTCTTGAAGTTATACCCTCTCCCCCGCCCCCTTTTTTAAGCATTCCAGGCTTATATATTTGGAAGTACTATTTTGGTTGCATACCTACAGCTTTGATATGTAGCAATTTCGTAAGTATTCAGCACGAAGTATCTTAAATTTCCATTATGATTTCTTTATTGACCTATCAGTTATCTATTAAATTTCCCAATGGCTGGGCTTGCTTTGTTGTTCTTCATCTTTTATGATTCACTTCCAGTGTAATTGCATGTTCTGGCAGCATGATTTATTTGATAATACTTACTTGAAATTTGTTAATATGGTTGGTTTTTATAAATCTACCATTGCATGCTTGAGAAAAATCTATGTTTTCCAATTGTTGGGTTTGGAGTTATATATCAAATAATCAACCTTGAGGTTTTTTTGTTGTTGTTCAAATCTCCTATACTTTACTAATTTGTAAGTTTACTAATTTGCCGGTATGACCTAAATATCAGTTTATGAATAAGACATGTTATATTTCTGACTGTGATGGCCAAGTCATCCTTTAGTACCTGAAATGGCATAATGTGTGCTTTTATGTTCTGCCTTTATATAGTTAGAGGCTATGTTATTAGGCACATGCAAATTTAAAAATTGTTATATGTTCCTAGTGAATTGGATCACCACTTACTTATAGTAACGCCCACAATCCTTACTAAGACTTTTGTCATAAAGTCCTGCATTTCTGAGAGTAGTATAGCTACTCTGTTTTGGGGTTGGAATTTGCCTGGTATGTAAATATATTTTTCAACCCTTTCCTTTAAACCTTTCTGTGTACTGATGTCTTAAGTGTTATTACCTCATAAATACTAGGTAACTGATTTTGATTCTTCTTTTAAAAAAATACAATCTGTCTTTTAATTGGCAAGAGCAGTCAGTCTATTTACTTTTATTCTGGTTGCTGATATGTGGAATGTTAATGTCAGTGGTGCATGGGCAGGCTAAACAGCCATATCAGACGGTGAATAAAGAAACATTGAATTTATTTAAGGAAAAGGGGTTGGAGGATGGGGATATCCAAAGGGAAGAGCTACACAGCACTGAGCCAAAGGGTATTGGGTCCATGGTGACAGCAAAAATATACTTAGGACAGTAAAACAAGGAAGGGCATAGAAGAATCAACAGGAAAGCCTAGGCTGGGCTGTTTTGGCTCACTGCGAAGTCAGAGAAAAGGGGGCCTTGGAGAGAGGTTCAGTGGGTTTGCCAGGGACAAGCTGCCATTGCCCATTGCTCTCCTGGTTGTAAATCTCATGGGGTCCCTTAAAAGTTAGGGGATACGTGCCTGTGGGGGAAGGAGAGGGGGGCGGGAATGGCACGGGCATGCTCCTTGGAGGGAGAGCATGCACTGGATCCTTTGTCTTGATGTATTTGTCTCTCTCTTGCAGATGGAAATCTTAGGGGAGGTCTCAGGCGAGAGTCAAAAGAATATTCATCAGCTCTACCCGGTGTGCTCTTTCAGGGCAGGGGGTCATTAGTCAATGTAGGTGGTCTCAGGCAAACAAGGGGTCACTTGTCTGGTTTTGCTGCTTTTCTGGGCCTGGAGCTGAAATATAACTGAAGCCTAGATATTATCCTTAGGAAGGAAAGGTCTGTGGGTCTAAACCACCTGACGAGAGTGATACGCTAGGGGAGGATAGTTATCCTGAGGGCGAGGTTTGTGTTTTCCTTATCCAACCCCTTCTCACCTTCCCTACTGGCTTTGAAATGATAAGCCATTTCTATTCTTTTAATGGCTAAAAGTGTTCTTTAAATTTTTACCATTCATGCTTAATAAATTATAAGATTAATATTCACTCTCTTGAAAAATACAAAGACCTTATGTTACTTTTGTTTACTATTTTAGTCCTGTCCTTTTTAACTACAGGCCGTAGCTATTATTGTTCAATTTGTTATTTAGACAGTGTTTGTTTAGATTTACATGTATATTTACCAGTTCCTCTTATCATTTCTTTTATATCCCAGACCTTCACTCCTAAGTATCTTCTTCGAAAGCGCCCCTAGTGCAGACTGGTTAATGGTAAAGATAGTTTCAATTGTTTCTCTTCTAGACAGTTCTGGGTTTAGTCTATGTAATTGCTTTTAGTCTATCAGTGGTCGTCAAACTCATTAGTCAACAGAGCCAAGTATCAACAGTACAACGATTGAAATTTCTTTTGAGAGCCAAATTTTTTAAACTTAAACTATATAGGTAGGTACATTGTTATTAACTTAATTAGAGTACTCCTAAGGCTTAGGAAGAGCCACACTCAAGGGGCCAAAGAGCTGCATGTGGCTCGCAAGCTGCAGTTTGCTGACTACGAGTCTAGGTAATTTTAGAATGACAGTTCTCTTAGCACCTGGGAGATATTATTCTGTTGCTTTTTGGCTTTTATTGTTTCTCTTCAGAAGTCTTCTCTCAGCCAAATGGTGTTCCATGGTAGGTAATTTATCTTTCTCTGAAACTACTTTTAAAATCTTCTTTGATTTTGGTATTCTAGTTTATCTTAATATACTAGAAGGCCCGTGCACAAAAATTTGTGCACTGGCAGGGAAGGAGGGTCCCTCAGCCCAACCTGTGCCCTCTCACGGATCACGCTGCCGCTCACCCTGCCCGCCCCGCCCAGCCCGCCCAAGACACGGCAGGCCAGGATACCGCGCTGGGGTGAGTGGCAGCTCAGATCTGCTGCCGCTGGCCCCGCCCAAGACACGGCAGGCCAGGATCTCAGCTTGGGCGGCATAGCGGGATCTGCCTGCAGTATGCAAATTAGCCGCCATCTTTGTTGGCGGCTAATTTGCATCTCTCGCTGATTAGCCAATGGGAGGTGTAGCGGAGGTACGGTTAATTTCAATCTTTGTCTATTATTAGATAGGATAGGATTTAAAAATGTTTTTTCTGCTTGATTACATTGTATTTAATTTATCTGTGGGTTTCTTGAAAATTCTCAACTATCATTTTTCCTATATAATAAAAGCCTAATATGCTAAGTGTCCGGTTGGCCGTTCAGCCAATCAAAACGTAATATGCTAATGATATGCTAAGGCAGTTCAACCACTCGCTATGACGTGCACTGACCACCAGGGGGCAGTCGACCAGTTGCTATGACATTTACTGACCACCAGGAGCGGGGGAAATGCTCTGGCTGGTAGGTTGGCTTGCTGCTGGGGTCCGGCAGATCGGGACTGAGCAAGATGGGCTGGACACGCCCTGGAGCCCTCCCGCAGTCCTTCCCCGGCTGGCCAACAACCTATGTCCCTCCCCGGCCCCGATCATGCACTGGTGGGGTCCCTTGGCCTGGCTTGCACCCTCTCACAATCCGGGATCCCTCGGGGGATGTCGGAGAGCCAGGCCAGGCTGAGGGATCCCACTGGTGCATGAATTTGTGCGCCGGGCCTTTAGTCCAGCCGTGGGCAAACTACGGCCCGCGGGCCGGATCCGGCCCATTTGAAATGAATAAAACTAAAAAAAAAAAGACCGTACCCTTTTATGTAATGATGTTTACTTTGAATTTATATTAGTTCACACAAACACTCCATCCATGCTTTTGTTCCGGCCCTCCGGTCCAGTTTAAGAACCCATTGTGGCCCTCGAGTCAAAAAGTTTGCCCACCCCTGTTCTAGTCTCTTCATAGTTAGGAATTTTCATTTTTTCTGTCAAGCCTCTAATAGATCAGAGATGCGTTCCATCTGTATCCAGCCTGTATTCTGGGTATGAATTCAGGCCTGTCTTGGAGTTTATTAAGTCACTTTGCAACTGGATCTCCCTTTATCCATTGAGGAAATTTTTTTCTCCTTCAGGAATTTTATTTTTCATTATTAAAAGATCTATTTGGTTCTTTTAGAAGGCTATCTGATAGTTTTTTGTTTGTTTGTTTTTGGTGATCACATTTATTGGAAGAGTTGGAGAAAAATAAAAATGCCATTTAGCTTAAGAATTTGTGAGTTATGTGCAAATAAACTCATTTCAGGAGCAGAAGAATCCTTGGTCATTTCTTTATATCAAAATTTACGCAGGTTTCTCTTTTGAATATCTTCTACCTTTAAAGATGCAATCATATAAAGTCTCCTAATTTCCACACAGGATATATTCTTTGTTTCAACCAACTCTCAATGGAGGGGCAGCCTGCACAACACCATCTCCCTGGACAAAAAGCATTGGAATATTGCGTTTTGTTGATTTATATATCTCTTCATATGTTTCTTCATCAATTTCTGTAGTAGTCACAGTTTCTTCCACATCTCCCAATATCATATTTAAATGTTGATCATAAGCATGTAATCTACCTTGAAGCTCTCTGTCATTTCTCATTTTCATATAAATTCGCTCATCCAGGCTGAGCCTGATAAGATCCAGGGGCTCTTCTACAGTGTTGGTAGTTTGTTGCTGCTCCACATCATCCACCATGTTTCAAACCTTATCTGGTAGTTTTTTATGAGTTTGTGTTTGCTCATTTTTGTCATTCTGCCTTAATCTTATTTTATAGTCTGTATTTTCTGATTTCAATGTTAGAAGTGTTACTGGTTCTAAATCTGCTATGATTTTTATGACTTTCATTCATGATGGATTAATTTCTTGTGTGATTAAGTCTTTGACTAAACTATTATTTGCTCTAAATTAATAGAAAACTTGTTACCCTTTATTGAGAACTAGAGGCCCAGTGCACAAAATCTGTGTGTGTGTGTGTGGGGGGGGGGGGGGGGAGTGGCACGGTCCCTCAGCCCAGCCTGCACCCTCTCCAATCTGGGACATCCCTCTTGCAATCCAGGACTGCTGGCTCCTAACTGCTCACCTGCCTGCCTGCCTGATCGCCCCTAACTGCCTCTGTCTCGGCCCCCGCCACTGTGGCTTTGTCTGGAAGGATGTCCGGAAGATGTCCAGTCTATCTGGTCTAATTAGCATATTACCCTTTTATTAGTATAGATGATTTGCTCTGAAAAGGATTTGCACTTTATTTTACTGCTGACCTGAAATTGCATTAGCCTCCCTTACAGGATCCCTGATTTCCAGGAATATTCAGTGCAGTTCTCCAGTTCTCCCACCTTGCTGTGTCAATCAGCCTTCCCCCCCACCCCACCCCCTGCCCCACCCCTGTGCTAATATCACAGGAACTCCATTTTCTTATGCTCAGGGTTTTTTGGATTCTTTTGCTTTGTCTCATGGAGATTTTCTTTTTCCTTATATCCTGTGAGCCCAGGAATGCATATCTCTCTCTCTGTCTCTCTGTCTCTGTCTCTGTCTCTGTCTCTGTCTCTCTCTCTCTCTAGTTCTTTTGTAGTAGGATAAGCCTTCAGAGTATCTAATGGAAATAAAGTTTTTTTTTTAAGTGAAAACGGAGAAGGGAGGGAGGGTGGGAATGAGGGAGGGGAAAGTAATACAATACGGAACATTTGGCCAATGGAGATCGAGGGAAAACTTTCTTAGGTGATGATCCTACCACCCAAATATAACACCTAAGTTGAGAACATGAGATAAGAGCCAGCATTAACAAAATATAGCTACTGAAGGGATAGGAAAATGTGAAAGTGGAAAGCTTGAGACAGTTGAATTTTTTATCATATAATTCCCATTAGGCAAACATTCTTTTGGAAAAATTTGAATACTTGAGCCTTTTATAGGATTACTAGAAGTCCGATGCACGAAGATTCATGCAAGTATAGGCCTTTCTTCCCCTGGCTGCCGGTGATGGGGGGGCTCGCTCTGGCAGCCTGTGCAGTGGCAGCGGCAGTGGCAAGCCCTGCGCGCTCTGGCGCCGCTTCTTCCTAGCCCTCCTTCTCCAGAGAGTTCCTCTGTGCAGCGCTGGTGCTCCTGGGGAGGCACGGAGGGGAAGAGGTAGGGGGAGCGAGGCAAGCGGGGAGGACTGGAGAGGTTGGGTGCACTAGTGCATTTCACTTTCCCATTGTGAAAGTGGGATGCAACTGGCCCCCTTCCTCATCCTCTTCCTCCTCCGCCCTCCGCCTCCTGCCCGCCCGCCCTCCCTTCGCGCCCATCGCCCCTCCCCTCTTGATTTGGCGAGATAGGGAGGAGGGAGGTCTGATAATTTGGGTTACTGTGTAGGTGGCCTCTTTCATCTATTCAAAACAAAGCTGAGCTGCCTGCCGCTGCCGCCACAGCTGCCACCATCGCCCCTTGGCTGGCCCGGGGCTCCCGGGGCGCGCTAACTGTGCACTGAGTGAGCTCCCATGAGCGTCTGCACCTGCAGAGCTGCTCCAAAGCTAGGGTTTTGTTTACCAGAGCAGCGGGGCAGTGGTGGGGTAGAGGGAGACGCCAGACACTGGTAGCTATGACCTCAGGCACCAGAGGGTTGCCTCTGAGGCCGGGGGCTGGGCCACAGGGAGGCTGCAAGGATGGCTGACAGGTGTGGAGTACGGCAGGGAGGCCCTGAGGAGGCACGCTGCCCAGAGCGGCCAGGGGTGGGGCTGCCACCATCTTTGTCAGGTTAATTTACATACTCACTCCCGATTGGCTGTGGGTGTTGTGAAGTGATGGTCAATTTACATATTTCTCTTTTATTAGATAAGATAGCTTAATTTTACTGGTCAGTTCTCTGGAATGTTATGTGGAAAAGTACCCAAGGAAATATTTCAATAAAATATAAATAAATGCATTTATAGTCTCTTACATGTGAGTTAATTTGCATATCTTATATTTCTGAATGATATTGTTTCTTTTCTTAATCCCACAGGACAAGGAGTAGATGAGCCTCTTTCAGAAACTGGATTTAAACAAGCAGCTGCTGCTGGTATATTTCTTAATAATGTGAAGTTTACTCATGTTTTCTCCAGTGATCTCACCAGGACAAAGCAAGTAAGTTTAGAGTGGAGGTTTAGGGTGATGAGTCAAGAGTTTCACCAGTGTAACCTTGAAAAATCTGCTACCAGAATTTATAGGGAATTAAATCACATACAGACTACCCCCAATATTCCCCTCTCCTCAACAGAACTTTTTTTTCCCATTGTACTTTATTTTATTTTGGTAAATTTTAAATTAGAGTAGCTTGAGAAAAGCTATCTAAAAAAAAGACAAAGAAGGTGTCGAGAGAGAAAGCCAGAAGAAACAATAGGCAGGAGAATTTAACACACAAAGGCATCAGATGTTGGAATTACTAGATACAGTTAAAAAACAATAACTATAAATACGAGACATTTTTTGAAGTATCTTAAATATCTTTAGGGAACAGATTGGTATAAAAATTACCTAGAGATTTAAAAAGGACCCAAGTCAACTTCTAAAAGCTCAATGGAAGGACAATTTTGTGACAACTACGAGGGAATAACAGGGCTGGGTTTAGCCTTCCCACATGAATAACTAGAAAATAGGACAAAATTTGTGAAACACTATTTTCAGATATTGGACTTCAGGCGATGTGGGTTTATGATCCCCAAAAGAAGTGAAACAAACGAGGTGAGCCCTAGGACTGTCCTGACTTTTCTGCTGAAGCAATTCCCAGACTCTGGTAGGAGAAGCCACATAGAGCCCAATGGTCTCAGTGAGTTAGGTGATAGAGCTTGGAAAGGTTAAGTAACTAACATTTATGGAGCAGAGTACTGGAAGAGAGAGCTGCACAAAGAAAGAAGTCTTGAAATGTGTGTAGGGATCCCCTTGAATCTTTGGTGGACTTAATTTGCACACGTGTAGGGTGTAACTGCCTGTGGCCAGACAAAACACAACTTCAGGGGGGAGAGCAATTGCTGGGGAAGTTGTAAGCTGAACAATTCCTAGAGCTCAATTTGATTTCCCATCAGCTAAAGTGGAGAGATTTCATTGAATGCATAGAGCATAGAGTAGAGTTGTCATAGTATTACACCTTAATAAGTGAGGCTAAACTACCCTTAGAGGAATGTAATGAGGAAAGAAATAGAGAATAAAAGAATCAAATTTATCTTCTATAGATGAAAAATACGATATTCTGAAATGAAAATGTTATGGGATGGAATTAACAGCAGAATAGATACTGTCGAAGAAGAGATTAGTGAACATGAAGACATAGAAACAATATTTTAAGGTTGTAAAAAGGAAAAAAGACTAGAAAAGGAACATTGAAAAGTCTCAGAAGTATAGTATGACATTAAGCAATTTAATTTACATGTAGTTGAAATCACAAAAGGGAAGTGGGGCATGAGTATGAGGGTTAAAACAAATAATTTGAATAAGTAATGACTAAAATTTTCCCAAATATTTACCCAGTGAAAATTCTTTGAAAAATTAGGTGAAATAAAGACTTTCTCTCAAGCAAAAGTTGAGGGACCTAAAATAGCACCATATTTTTATGGTCATTTATTTTTGAGTGTTTTTGGTTTAGGGTTTTGACAAAGGTACCAAGGTAATTTAGTGATTGAAAGGATAATCTTTTCTATAAAAGGTGCTGAAACATTGGGCTATCCATATGGAAAAACATGAACTTTGACTCTTACCTCACATAACACAAACATTAACTTATGATTGATTATAGAACTAACCTAAAAGCTAAATTTATAAAAATTCTATTTAAAAAATAAAAACCCATAGAGGACACATTGAGATATTGCCTCATACCTGCCAGAATGGCTACCATCAGTAAATCAGCAAATAAGTGCTGGTGAAGATGTAGAGAAAAGGGAACCCTAGTACACTGTTGGTGGGAATGCAGACTGGTGCAGGCACAGTGGAAAACAGTATGGAGTTTCCTAAAAAAATTAAAGTGGAACTACCTTTTCACCTAGTGATCCCACTTCTGGGACTATTTCCTAAGAATCCCGAAACACCAATTAGAAAGAATATATGCACCTGTATGTTCATAGCATCATTATTTGCAACTAGAGGCCCGGTGCATGAAATTCGTGCATGGGATGGGGGTGGGGTCCCTCAGCCTGGCCTGCAGCCTCTCCAATCCGGGACCCCTAAACTGGCAGTCGGACATCCCTCTCGCAATCCAGAACCACTGGTTCCTAACTGCTCACCTGCCTGCCTGCCTGATCACCTCTAACTGCCTCTGCCTGCCTGATGCTCCTAACTGCTCCCCTGCCAGCCTAATTGCCCCTAACCGCTCTCTGCCTGCCTGATTGCCTCTATCTGCCTCGGCCCCACCACCGTGGCTTTGCCTGGGAGGACGTCCAGAAGATGTCCGGTCTAATTAGCATATTACTCTATTATTAGTATAGATAAGTAGCCAAGATCTGGAAACAGCCCAAGTACCTATCAGTACAGTAGTGGATAAAAAAGATGTGGTACACCCTAACCGGTTTGGCTCAGTGGATAGAACGTCGGCCTGCGGACTGAAGGGTCCCGGGATCAATTCTGGTCAAGGGCATGTACCTTGGTTGTGGGTGCATCCCCAGTGAGGGGGTGTACGGGGGGCAGCTGATCGATGTTTCTCTCCCATCGATGTTTCTAACTCTCTATCCCTCTCCCTTCCTCGCTGTTAAAAAATCAATAAAAAATCTATTTACGCAATAGAATACTATGTGGCTGTAAAAAGGAATGAACTCTTGCCTTTTATGACAGCATGGATGGACCTGGAGATTATAATACTAAGGGAAATAAGCCAGTCAGAGAAAAATACTATATAATCTCATTTCTATATGGAACCTGATGAAAAAAATTAATTGACAAACAAAATAGAACCAGAGACATGGATACATGGTACAGACTGACAGATTGGGGGTGGCGGGGAAGTTGGCAGGTGGGATGAAAGAAGGTGAAGAGAATAGTCAAAGAACATATATGCATACTCCATGGACACAGACAACAGTGTGGTGAGGGCCAGAGGGATGGGAGGGTGGGGTCTAGATGGAGGGGGTCAAATGGGTGACATCTATAATGTCAACAATTAAAAATTAAATTAAGGAAAAAAGAAAACGAGGAAAATCTTTATAAAGGTTTCTTGGGACAAAGCTGATAGATAGTTCTACAGAATTGTTGGAAGATAACAAATGATCAGATCCAGAAAGTGTAACAAAACACAGGATAAAGAAAATCCTACATCTACACTTAAAACAAAATTGCAAAACTCCAAAGAATAGAAAGGAAAAGTATCATGTACTAAACACCAATATTAGGCTATCAACTAATTTGACAGTATCAGTAATTTTTTTAATATGCTGAGAGACAGTAGGATTAACCTAGAGTTTTATACCCAGCAAAATGTTTTCTAGAGTAGAGGTGAAATGAGAGCATTTCAGACAAATAGGCTTGAAAGTAAAGAACTTTCACAGGATAACAGAAGAAAAATAGTTCCAGAAGGAAAGTATGAGTTTTAGAAAAGAATGAGCAAAGAAATTAGTAAAGGTTTAGGTCAATATAAACAACTATTTATAATATAAAATAATAACAATGATAATGTCTAATTTGTGGGTAGGGTATTAAAAAATAAGGCTGGTTGTGGACTTAAATTACTAGTTTTGCAAATACACTGTCCCTTGTCCATTAAAAGTAACCAAGCACACAATGAGAAGGGAACAAAAATAAATAAGTACAAAAGGCAGCAGAAGTAGCCATGGCCGTTAGCTGATAATGGGAGTTATCAGACAAAGGCTTTAAAATAACCATTTAATGCAGAGGTAAAAGCATTGAGAATTTCAGCAGAGAACAGGAAAATATAAACAAAAATCAAATGCAAATTCTAAAACTGAAAATAATACTAAAATTAAGACTCAATGGGTTTAACAGCAATTTAGACACCTTGAATGGAGATTAATGAACCAGAACCTTTTCTATAAAGAGCCAGAGAGTAAGTATTTTAAGTTAGGTGGGTCATGTGATCTCAGTCACAACTGTTCAACTCTGCTGTAGTACTGTGAAAGCAGCCTAAACAATACGTAAATGGCTGTTTTCTAATAAAACTATTGACAAAAAGTGATGGTCTGGATTTGGTCTATAGCCTATAGTTTGCCGACTACTGAATTAGAAATTAGGGTAGAAGGAAATATGAAAATCTGGCATGAAGAGAGAAAGGATGAGCAGTACCGAGAAGTAACTTTTAGAAAGGAAAATGATTTCTAGTTCTTTTTTATTCATTAAGAAGGTATGCATTATTTTGATGTCTTGGCCAGAATGATTAATTTTATGAGAAGAGAAACAGTTATCTTTCGATTTTCAGACAGTGCATGGGATTTTGGAGAAGAACAAATGTTGCCAACATATGACAGTGAAGTATGATTCAAGACTTCGAGAAAGAGTAAGTAGCTTATGTATTATTCTTTGCCATAGTCATCAACAACTACCTCAGGTTATCATATGGCTAAATATTAATTACTGCTAGAAATATGGAAACAGCTAACATTTGTTGAGGATCTATCCTGTAATAGTCACTGTTACATACTCTCAGAGATAGCATAGATAGTATCTTATTTAACTACTAGGAGCCCAGCACACGATTCGAAATTGTGCAGCGTTGTGCACCCTCAAGTCTCCGGTCCGGCCCTGCCTCGCTCCCTGGGCCCCGCAGCAGCCAGGACCGCTGCTGGTCGGCCCTGCCTCCCTCTCTGGCCCTTGAAGCAGCAATGGCCACTTCTGATTAAGCCCTCCCCCAGCGCAGGTGTGCGGAGGCCCCTGTGCCCCGCCCCCGACGCTCCGTGTGCAACCTCCTCCTGTTTGATCGACCCGTTACGGTGTCCCGGTTAATTAGCATATTCTAGTATATATAGATATATAGATTAAATCATATGATATACATTTTAAAAAATTTTTAATCCTCACCCAAGGATATGTTCATTGATTTTTTTTTTTTTTTTTTGGAGAGAGAGGAAGGTGGGGGGCAGAGAGATGTGAAAGAGCAACATTGAACGGTTGCCTCTTGTATGCTCCCCAACCAGGGATCGAACCTGCAGCAACCTAGGTATGTGCCCTGACCAGGAATAGAACCCACAACCTTTTTGGTGTATGGGACAATGTTCCAACCAACTGCATCTCCCGGCCAGGTGAAATCATATGATATACATCTTAAATTATAAAAGCGCAAGGTATATTTGTTGTAAGAATTTAACACAGTGGCCCTAACCGGTTTGGCTCAGTGGATAGAGCATCGGCCTGCGGACTGAAGGGTCCCAGGTTCGATTCCGGTCAAGGGCATGTACCTTGGTTGCGGGCACATCCCCAGTAGGAGGTATGTAGGAGGCAGCTGATCAGTGTTTCTCTCTCATTGATGTTTCTAACTCTTTATCCCTCTCCCTTCCTCTCTCTAAAAAAAAAACAAACATTAAAATATATATTTTTTTAAAAAAAGAATTTAACACAGTACGAAAGAATTTAAAATAAAGAAAACCTCTCTCCCTCAGCTTCCCAGTTCTACCGCCTGATTTTAAGCATAAGTAGCCCATTTTAGATACCAGAAATGAATCTTTTTGAAACTGTGATTTAGCTAAAGCTGTAGAACAATTTCACCTCTGAGATTTGGCTCCAGGTCTCCTAGAAGACTTTTTATTATGCTCTATAACTCTGACCTATAAAACACCTAACGCCCCTGCCAGCCCTGTGATTTCTTACATAACCAGACAGAAACGTAACAGAATGGCTAGGACATCTTTAACAATTACTTTACTTAATGTGCTTATGTTCTCTGTTATGGCTCAACATACACACTAGAGCTCCAGCATACGTGCTGCTTGGAAAGGCTCATTTTGCTCAAATGGTAAACAAAAGCGCCTTGAATTCAGTGAACACCAAACAGGGCCTGTCATCATCAAGGAGTAGCAAGTGTTATTGATCATTCGGCTGCACCATCTCTTCGCTCTCTCCCTGAGTAATTACATCCTCTCTTATGATTTCTGCTAATGAGCTGATTTCCAAATGGGTACTTTTAGCTTAGATCCCTAAACTGTATCAAACTGCCTACTGTTTACTTCTGTTTGAATGCCCCCCAGCTACTTCCTGCTCAGTGAGCTACACTCTCCTCTCCATTGGGCTCCTGCTTTACCCAGTTCAAATCGTTTATTTTTGACTCTTCACTGTACCTCACACGGCACATCTGTCCTCTTGTCAATTCTACCTCTAAATAGTTCTTGAATCCTTCCTCTCTCTGCAAACCCACTGCTGCCATCTACTGCAGTTCACTGTCCTCTGTCCCCTAGATCACTGTCACCTAGATTTTCCTGTTCACTGCACTCCTTTTTCAATCCAATATCCACACCACCAGCAAGAGTAATCTTTGGAAAATTGGGTCGCTGCACACCTGTATAAAAGAGTCTGCTGCTTCCCTTTTGTCTTCAAAGGTTGTCTAAGCTCTTACCTGTTTGGCTATGAGCGTGCTGTGGGATCTGACCTGTTGTCTCCACCTGCCTCCTTCCCCTTCCCTGGTGCTTGGTGGCCAGTTTAATAATATTAGCGAGCACTTACTTACATGGTGCTCATCACATTCTGGCCCTGTTGCAAGCTCTGCAAGTTTATTAATCTTTGCAACAACCTGATGTAAAGATTCAAAAACCTCATGTTTTAGCCCCCATTTTACAGGTGCAGAAACAAAGGCACACAGAGGTCAAGCTCATGCTCGGAGTAACAGAGCTAGTTTATTGCAGAGCTCAATGAAAATCGAGGCCGCTGGGCTCTGTGGTCTATGTTCTGGACCTCTGTTCACGTGTCTCTCAGAGATCTTGGCATCTGGCGTCGCCCCGACAGCCTGTGCTCTTTCCTCACTCGGTCTGGAATACTTGCTCCTTAAACCTGGCCCACTTCCACCCACCCCGAGGCTTGGGCCTTCAGTGATGCCTCTGCTGTATGTGTCTGTGTCGGTACTTCCCTCCATCACAGCACTTCCTGCCGTTCCTAGGCTAGTGTCTCCACCACGCTGCCATCTCCGCAGGGGCGGGAGCCACGTGTCTCCCTGCTCTTCTTCACTCTGGCCTTCCTGCCTACCATGCTTCAGTGTAGTGTTTGGAATATTGAACCAATGGATGGTTCCATTCTTAACAAAACAAAGCCAGTGATGATAATTAATGTTCCTCTTTGTAATAGAGGTTACTCCAGATATAACTGAGAATGTTAGAAGTTGGACTTGAGGATTATAAGAGCACCTGGAAAAATGTGCCTATTCTCTTATAAAAAAGAATATTTTACTATTGGACTCTGACTGATGGTGTTGTTGGATTCTTCTGGTATCATCAGTGCAAACTATAAAAAATGGTTTGTCTCCTTCAATATTTTATTATGCAAGTAATCCATTATCATTGTGGGGAATTATCAGTTCAGAGGTGATATAATAGGGTAAGTAGAAGGAAACCACACTTCTTCATGAGGATGATTGTTCTAAATTTGTCATAAACTTGTACTTAATTGTTATATTGCAAGTTAACTGGAGGCACTGTTGTCTATTGGATATTGCAGAAATACGGGTTGCAGAAGGCAAGGGGCTGAGTGAGCTGAGGGCAATGGCCAAAGAAGCTGGGGAAGAATGCCCTGGGTTCACACCACCTGGAGGAGAGACCTTAGATCAGGTACGTAGCCCTGGGGCATGTGATGAACTAGCCAATGTCACAGTAGCTGAAATCTGACTTAAAAAAAAAAAAAATTGCCGGAACCGGTTTGGCTCAGTGGATAGAGCGTCGGCCTGTGGACTGAAAGGTCCCAGGTTTGATTCCGGTCAAGGGCATGTACCTGGGTTGTGGGCACATCCCCAGTAGGGGGTGTGCAGGAGGCAGCTGATCGATGTTTCTCTCTCATCGATGTTTCTAACTCTCTATCTCTCTCCCTTCCTCTCTGTAAAAAATCAATAAAATATATTTTTAAAAAAATTTTTAGAGAGAGGAAGGGGGAGAGAGAAACATTGATCAGTTGCCTCCCACATGCACCCTGACCAGGGATGAAACTCACAACCTAGGTATGTGCCCTGACAGGGAATTGAACACACCACCTTTTGAGCCAAACCGGCCAGGACCTGACATTTTTTGTACTTTCCATTTTTTAATTAAATCAAATTAAATTTTATTGATTTTAGAGAGGAAGGGAAAGGGAGAGAGAAATATCAATGATGAGAGAGAATCATTGATCAGCTGCCTCCTGCATACCCCTTACTGGGGATCGAGCCCACAACCCCTGGCATGTGCCTTTGACCGAATTCGAACCTGGGACCCTTCAGTTCGCAGGCTGACTCTCTATCCACTAAGCCAAACCAGCCAGGGTTTTGTTTGTTTTTTGTAATTTAGATGTTCCTAAATTTTAGCTAAGCAGTTTGAAAGTTGTTTGGTTTATAAAACAACTCTGTGTGATACTGTTTTTTCCTTTCTAAGCTATCCTGGCTTTCTCGTTGATTTTAAGTTGGCAGTCATAGCTGATAGTGGATGGAAAGGATGTGTGTTATTACATATTACTGTTAAGAAAACTCTGAATATGAAGCAGTACCTTCAGCAGTGGTAGTGGTAGTCAGTAAAGCTGGTGGTGACGTTCAAGAATGACAAGCAGAACACCTGAGAGGCAAACTAATTCACACTGAAATCTTCAGGCCTCTACTGCCTCCCTGACATCATCACCCGGCTTGCCTTTCTTTGGACCATTCTGCTTTTGAATTGTATTATTGGTTATTTCCCCCCTATTCATTACTTTCATGTAAAAAATTTCTATAAATTTAGAAAGGAAAAGGTTTTTTTTTGTCCTTGTTCTAAGTACACTGAAGTGTCAGATGTAGTCTCTTAGTTAATACTGTTTTATGGGCTTCTGTTTACTTGCATATTTCCCTAACTAGACTGTGAGTGCTTTGAGCTAGGAATTAGGAATTGTATCTTACTCTTCTTTGTCCCCAGTGTGCTTTCATAGTTTCCCGAAGTATGGTGGGCACTTACTAATGTCCATGGAACTACTGGCTGAATGCATAGATATACAGCCTTTTGCCCTGGCCTGTGTGGCTCACTGGTTAGAACGTCGGCCCCCACAGTGAAGGGTCTTAGGTTTGAATCCCGGTCAAGAGCATGTACCTGCATTGCAGGTTCGCTCCCTGCCCCCGGTTGGGGTGTGTTTGGGAGGCAACCAATTGATGTGTCTCTCTCACGTTGATGTTTTTCACTTTCTCTCTGCCTGTCCTCTTCCTCTCTCCCTTCCACTCTCTTTGAAAAGCAATGGAAAAAACCTTCATGAGGATTAACAACAAAAGAAATAGTATTTTATGACATTAGAAAAATCCAATCAGGCTTTATGTTTATGTTTTAAGACAGTCAACAATGTCACTTTACTTCACCCTTTATCTCCTTGTAGGTGAAGATGCGTGGAATAGACTTTTTTGAATTTCTTTGTCAACTGATCTGGAAGGAAGCAGATAAAAAAGAATCGTGTCCCTTAGAAACTCCAAGCAACTGTCTGGCAACTTCTTTGGCAGAGATATTCCCTTTAGGAAAAAGCTGTGCCTCCAAATTTAATTCAGACAGCAGCGCTCCAGAATTAGTAGCCAGTGTCTTAGTAGTGAGTCACGGTGCTTACATGAAAAGCCTGTTTGGTTATTTTCTGAATGACCTTGAGTGTTCCTTACCAGAAACTCTGAGCAAATCTGAACTTACATCAGTCAGTGCCAATACAGGGATTAGTCTCTTTATCATAAACTTTGAGAAAGAAAGAGAAGTTAAACCAACAGTTCAGTGTGTTTGTATGAACCTGCAGGAGCATCTAAAAGAAATGACTGAAACTTGCTAAATTTAAACTTACACCAAAATCCTAACAGTTTTGAGCCTTTGAGGGAGGGAGTGCCTTTGACTTTACTTATTTTCATCCTCTGCTCTCACTAAATTGGAAACAGTTTTAAAAAAGCTGTCTATTTAGAAGGTTTTTAAGTTCAAATGGAATCATAGCCACATAAAACACTAATGGAAAACCATTTAGAACTGATTTGTCTGAGTACAATTGGCATTTTCCAGAGTATTTTTACTACCTGCTTACTTATGTCTCTGGATTGTAAAAGGAGGAAGGAACTCAGTATTGCAAATTGGGGGATTAGTAATCTGGTTACTCTTTTTTCCCCCCCCCTTTTTAAAAAATGTTGATATTTTCCTTTAATGTCTGAAAAACCTAGCTTATTTTATTGGCTCTCGGTAAGATACTGTATGTTTTGTACTATCTCCATCCATACTTGGAAGAAGGGACTATTTATAATTCTCACCGCATATTTATAGTGTCGATGTTATATTTTAAAAGCCCTTAAATAAAAAAGGCTTACCATCAAGTTTATATAAAGCAAAATGACACGTTTTCAATATAGAAATCAATGGTTGGAATTGTTCCCTCTAGAGCAGCGGTTCTCAACCTGTGGGTCGCGACCCCTTTGGCGGTCAAATGACCCTTTCACAGGGGTCGCCTAAGACCATCCTGCATATCAGATATTTACATTACGATTCATGATAGTAGCAACATTACAGTTATGAAGTAGCAACGAAAATAATTTTATGGTTGGGTCACAACATGAGGAACTGTATTTAAAGGGCCAGAAGGTTGAGAACCATGCTCTAGAGGGTTTGAAATGTGGGTGAATGCAGAAGTTCTTGTCTAATATGTAGGCTGAGAATTCAGTTTGAGAAAGGCTGTAAAGAAAGTAGAGTTACCAGGGTGCTGCACAGTAGCCTCAGAATAAAAGTGGGTGCTTCGTTGAAAAAGAAAAACTGTACTCTGAGAACTGCAAATGTGGGGGTTTTGTGGAAGGCACGCATGAGATTGCCTCTTTTTTCCCACCAGGTGGCACTGGAGAAAAGGGATTTTGGTTAACTTAATTTCAAGCATATGATTGGACCCTCAAAAATTCTTATCTATCCCAGGCCTTTGGGGTTTAGGTGGAGGGGGAGCAAAAGAGGAAATGGGGAGACATCTGTAATATTATCAACAATAAAATAAATAAGCAAACAAAAAATCCGTATCTAAATGAAGAAGTGCTTTACACGTAGTCTACTCTTCAGTGTGCATGTTGATGAATGCTCTGGGTCTCAGCTTAGAAAAGAATTAAGCCCTAGCTGGTTTGGCTCTGGATAGAGCCTGCCCACTGAAGGGTCCAGGGTTTGAATCCGGTCAAGGACACATGCCCAGGTTGCGGGCTTGAGCCCCGGTAGGAAGTGTGATTCATCAATGTTTCTATCTCTCCCTCTCTGAAATCAATAAAAATACATAAAGAAAAAGAAAAGAATGCTGAAGTTTGTCAGTTAAGGCTAAAATGATGTATGGTCAGCTTTTACTTTGAACATCATTGAAATGTATGAAGTTTAGCATTCTGCTGGGCTCCAGCAGTTTTCCTACCAGTATTGGAACAGCACAGTTGAACACCAGGGGAAGTGCGCTGCAAATGAAAATTTGACAAAGTAACCAAAAAGTACAAATAACAGATGCCTACATTTCCATCACCCAAAAGTAATGCACCCCCTTTTAAGATATATTGTGATGTAAGTCAAATTCCTTATGTAACCAATTCTCAGTCCTGTTCCCCTCTGTACTCTACAGAGGCAACCACCACAATGAATCTATGTATTCACCCATTCTTTACATCTTTACCTGGTATAGGGAAATAATATTGTTTTGGTGTCAAAAATGTACATAAATATCTTCAAGCTGTCTGTATCCTTTATTTTCACTCACTGTGTCTGGGGGCTCTATTTTGATTTGTATAATCTCCTTATAACCACTGTATTCTGCTGAATAAATATGCACGTTTTGTGTTGTCTCTATTAGTGGACATTTAAGTGTATCAGCATTTTTCTGTAGGCACAATGCTGCAGAAACCGCCTTTTGCGTCTCCTGTGCTGTGTCATAAAACGCGTGCACCCTGGGTAGATAAGAGCTCAACCATCTTCAAATGGCTGTTTTGCAGCCTTACTAGAGTTCCAAAGCTTCTGTTTTCCATGTCTTCGTTAGCACTTGATACTGTCTTGACGAAATTTTGTTAATATAGTGAATGAAAAATACTGTTACTTTCCTGGACTTTCCTGGGATTCCTAATGGGTCTGGGCATTTTTTCATCTGCGTTGACGACTAGGACTTGCTCACTGGTATGGCACCAGTGTATTTCTTTGCCTGGTTATCGCTTGGGCTCTTTGGCTTTTTCTTCCCGAGTTGCAGGAGTAACATCCCAAATACCTCCCAGTTTACTTGCCTTTTACATTTTATCATGCATCTTTTTAATTTTTATTTTTAATTACAGTTGATATACAATGTTCTGTTTGTTTCAGGTGTACACATAGTTAAGCATTTATATAACAATGAAGTGGTCACCCTGATAAGTCTAAGTGCCCACCTGGCACGATGCATAGTTATTGGCTATAATCCATATGCTGTACTTTACATCCCTGTGACTGTCTTCATAATGCAATTTGTGCTTAATCCCTTTCATCTTTTTCACCCATCTCACATCTGGCAATCATCAGTTTGTTCTCTGAGTTGTTTTTTTTTCTGTTTTGTTTTTTAGATTCCACTTATAAGCGAAATCATATATTTGTCCTTCTCTGACCAATTCCACATAACATAATAACCTCTTGGTCCATGTTGGAATGGTAAAATGCCATTCTTTTTTATGACTAATCTAATATGCCACTGTATATAAGCATCACATCTTTATCCACTCATCTATTGATGGACATAGTGTTTTTAATTTTTAATCAAACCAATATATCTTGTCCCCTTTATGGTTTGTGGGGTGTAGTTTGGTGCCTTGAGAAGCCATCTCTACCATGAGGCCATATAGTAGTCTTTTTCCTTATAGTTTTAGAGGATTTTTTGAATGCTAAATCTTATCTGGAATTTATTTTTGTGTGGTATAAGTTCAGAAGTCACTTTTTAATTTTTCTTCATGTGAAACAGTTACCCCAACACCATTGTTAGGAGTCTCCCAGTTGATTTGTGATTCTACTGTCATACCCCCATGCACCCATATTTGCTGGCATCTGTCTGTGGACTTGGTTCTGTTCCAGTGAGCTATGTACACCCATAGCAATGTCATACTTAGTTACTGTAGCTTTGGAACTGAGTATTTTGTAGAGTGGATATCTCTTTTTCATTTTTATAGTATCTTAGCTATTTTTGCACCTTTATTCTTCCATATACATTTTATTTATTTTTTAAAGCTATTTTTAAAATATATTTTTATTGATCTCAGAGAGCAAGGGAGAGGGAGAGAGAGATAGAAACGTCAATGATAAGAGAATCATTGAGCCCTAGCCAGTTTGGCTTGGTAGATAAGAGTGTCGGCCTACAGACTGAAAGGTCCTGGGTTCGATTCAGGTCAAGGGCAAAAGCTCGGGTTGTGGGCTCAATCCCCTGTAGGGGGTGTGCAGGAGGCAGTCGATCAATGATTTTCTCTCATCATTGATGTTTCTATCTCCCTCTCTCTGAAATCAATAAAAATATATATTTAAAAAAAGAGAATCATTGGCTGCCTTCTACATGCCCCCCTAACTGGGGATCAAGCCCGAAACCCGAGCATGTGCTCTTGACCAGGATCGAACCCAGAACCCTTCAGTCCACAGGCTAATGCTCTATCCACTGAGCCAAACTGGCTCGGGCTTCCATATACATTTTAAAATCAATAGGCCAATTTCCAGAAAAATTGCAAATTTTATTAGAATCATACATTTGTTAATTTATAATTTGTTATATATATGTAATCGTCACCTGAAGATATGTTTTTATTGATTTTTAGAGAGAGAGAAATATCGATATAAGAGAGAAACATTGATCAGTTGCCTCCTATACATGCCTGACCAGGGATCGAACCTACAAACTTTTGGTATATGGGATGATGTTCCAACTAACTGAGCCACCTGGCCAGGGCAATAATTATTTTTTGAGCAAGGCACACAAATGCCAGGTTATTATAAGAACTACTAGAGGCCTGGTACACAAATTCATGCACTGGTAGGGTCCCTTGGCCTGGCCGGTGATCAGGGCCGATCGGGGTCAATTGGGGACGGCCGGCCGGGGGGGAGGGACCACGGGAGGTTGGCCAGCTGCGGGAGGTTGGCTGTGGGAGCATACCGACCACCAGGGGGCAGCTCCTGCTTTGAGCTGCCTCCTGGTGGTCAATGCGCATCATAGCGACCAGTTGTTTGGTCGGCCGGTCGTAATGGTCACTTAGGCTTTTATATATAGAGATTGGAAATAAACAAATGGGACTACACCAAAAGAAAAAGCTTCTGCACAGCAAAAGAAACCATCCACAAAACAAGAAAGCCCACTGCATGGGAGAACATATATGCAATGTTATCTCCGATAAGGGTTTAATCTCCAAAATTTACAGGGAACTCATACAACTTAACAAAAGGAAGATAAATCCAATAAACAATCCAATAAAAAAAATGGGCAAAGGACCTAAGTAGATACTTTTCAAAAGAGAACATACAGAAGGCCATGAGACATATGAAAACATGCCCAAAGTCACTAATGATCCGAGATGCGAGTCAAAACGACAATGCGGTACCATCTCATACCTGTCAGAATGGCTATCATCAACAAATCAACAAATGTCAAGTGTTGGCAAGGGATATGGAGAAAAAGGAACTCTCATGCACTACTGGTGGGAATGCAGACCGGTGCAGCCACTGTGGAGAACAGTATGGAGTTTCCTCAAAAAATTAAAAATGGAACTCCCATTTGACCCAGTAATCCCACTTTTCAGAATATATTCCAAGAAATCAGAAACTCCAATCAGAAAGGATATATGCACCCCTATGTTCATAGCAGCACAATTCACCATAGCTAAGATTTGGAAACAGCCTAAGTGCCCATCAGCGGATGAGTGGATTAAAAAGCTGTGGTACATCTACACAATGGAATACTCTGCTGCTGTAAAGCAGAAGGAACTTTTACCATTTGCAACAGCATGGATGGAACTGGAAAGCATTATGCTAAACGAAATAAGCCAGTCAGAAAAAGATAAATATCACATGAGCTCACTCATTTGTACAATGAACAACATAAACTGATGAACAAAAATCGAGCCAGAGAAAAAAAATATTTTAGAATATAATAGAAGTAATCCTGTTATTTTCAGATTTTTCATATTTCATACAACTTTTGTGATATTACATATACTATATTAGTAAAGTTTTGGTAATATATTTTAAATATTTTTTCTTGAAATATTGTTTATTGCATGTAACATATTTAAAATAGTTTTTCTTGAAAAATTAATATTTATTGCATGTATTATTATATTTAAAATTGTTTTTCTTGAAATATTAAAAAAAAGTTAATGTCAAAAGGAAAAAAAAGAAGTATTAGAACTGTGAATATATAGCAACAAATAAAAAATAGACAAAGTCCCCATTCTTTGGAACCTATATTCTGTCAGGGAAGATAGATAGTCTATACATGTCAGTGTGGTCTGTGTTATTGAGAAAAATGAAGGAGGATAAGGGGATCAAGACTAAAGGGAGGAATACTACTTTATTTAGGGAAGTCCAGTTTCTCTTGGGTAACCATCTAGGAGTGCAGTTGCTGGGTAGGTATGGGTGTATGCTTATCATACAAGACACTTAGATCTTTCTCCAGGGTAGTTGAACCATTGTATACTCACCAACAAAGTATGAGAGTTATGGGTGCTCTACATCCACACCAACATTTGACGTTATCAGTCTTAAATTTTAGCCACTCTGTTGGATGTGTAGTAGTATCTCACAGTGGTTTTATTTTTTTATTTCCTTGCTAACTAATGATGTAGAGCACCTTTTCACATATATTAACTACATAACTTCCTTTGTTAAATCTCTTGTATAATTATGTTTATCTTTTAGTTTGAATTCTGTATATATTTTGGAGAGACAAGTTCGTTGTCATCTACATGTGAGTATGTATAAATATATATATACACACTTACATATTTATAAACTTTTTAAAATAAACAATATTTGTTATAAAATATGATTTTCTTAATAGTGTTTTTTAATGATAAGTTAATTTTCATAAGACTAATTTACTATTATATTTGTTTTATGGTTATTGTTTTCTATAGTCTAAGAAATCTTTGCTAACCCCTGGTTATGAAGATATTGTTCTTTTTTAGAGGCTTTATAATTTTACCTTTTATGTTTAGGTCTTTGGCCCATATGGAATTAATTCTGGGGTATGGTATGAGGTAAGTGGTTGAGGTCTGTGGGGAAGAATGGGACTTGGCTGGAAAGTCTGTAAGGAGGATTTTTCGAAAGGTCGGAGCCCTAGGGGATTCTTGCCAAAGGCAGCAGCCCCTGCCTTGACTTTTCCAAACAAGTCTGAGCCCCTGGGTGTTTTACTGGAATCTTTATGTTTAGACTTCAAGACATCCTTGTTCAAAGGACACTGCAGATACATGTATTTTCTCAAGGATACTTACCCTGCTGATAGTATCTAGAGGTTAATTTTGGTTCAAGCTGTTACTACAATGAAAACCTAAGGAGGCAGGCAAATGGGACTGTCTGGTTCCTTTAAAATAAACAATATTTGTTATAAAATATGTTTTTCTTAATAGAGTTTTTTAATGAGAAGTTAATTTTCATAAGACTAATTTACTATTAGTCTTATTTACAGAAACGTGTGTCAGAGTAATCACTCATCCGTTGCTCAGGGTCTGCAGGCCAGCCTGTGGGGATGGGGCTGAAACCAGTAGTCTGACATCCCCCAAGCGGTCCCGGATTGTGAGAGAGTGCAGGCCAGGCTGAGGGACCCCACTGGTGCACAAATCCGTGTACTGGGCCTCTAGTATATAT